CATATACGGACGAAACAGCATCCTTCGCGTAGATCCCGAGAGTACGCCTTTCTTAGATCTGAAACAGATCCTCTCGGGGGCGGATCCTGAGGGGGAGGGGGGAGTTGAGTGTTAAATTCGTGTGCTTTATCGTCTGATGGTCTTCTATCAGTTATAAAAATTCAACCAAGGGCATGATTTCTACCCAATCCGGACAGTAAAACCAATCAGAGCTGTTTAAAAGTCATAATATAGTATGGTTACATGATAACTGAAACCCAACCGACCCCCCCCCCCCCCACAAAAAAAAAAGATACATTTTATCAGGAACCTCTCCCCCCCCCCTCCTGCCAAAATTGCTGGAACCTCCCCTGCTCATTTTCAGGGCCTCTTTGACAAATTTGGTCAAATTAAGCAGGTTAATAGTATAAATAGTAATTATTTCTTTGCAATAGAAATGAATTAGACACTGTATTAACTTCATTGCACACTAGCAATCGATTTAAATTCACAGTAAATGTAAATAATCTGGGCTTTTTTGGTCAGGGAATGAGGTAAATATTTGTACCTTTTGTTTGTTTTGTTGATCATTCAGACTGGGTTCACGTGATGTGAGATAAACATTATCTCGATCAAAAGTATCTAAACAGTCAACAGTGATCATTTTATTGTATAATCAGATAGAGAGAGAGGGTAAGAGGAAGGGGGGGGGGCAAAATCGCCGATCCTATTTCCCCACTCCCTTTTCACGTTCCTATATAAATGTGTCTTCTTTTCTGCAGACAACTTCCAACACAGTAATTTATGTATTTTACAGCAGCCCGAATTGGGCAATATTTTCCAGGACCTTACTCAGTTTTTAAGGAAGATAAACCCCTATTCTTTGACACCTGGAATGGACACAAATAGGTCGTAACGCATATAATAAAGCAATATGAATGAATATAAACTGAATTACATCCAATCGTTTATGTTTTTACTGTAATTTCTAAACAGTAATATTCGGCGAAATATGCGAAGAGTCCACATTGAACGAGATACTAACTCGTTCAAACGAGATACTAACTCGTACAAACGAGATAATTAATTCGTTCAAACGAGATACTAACTCGTGCAAACGAGATACTAACTCGTGCAAACGAGATACTAACCCGTTCAAACGAGATACTAACTCGTTCAAACTGATTAATATTAATATTTTTGTTTGGCACTAATGGGCCTTCGTAAATATCCAAATCTTACACCACTCACATGTACAAATGTTCGAGACCTGTGTGACCTGTCCTGGGCAAGTGGTCTTTGCTAATAATACAAGCGGTTGTCATGCAAGAAACGCTCACATTTTGCAAACTTTAGATAGAAATAAGCTAAACAAGCTTGCCAACACTTTGCAAGAGATGGACAGAGAACAAGCTAAAAAAGGCGATTTTTCGGACAATCTGGGGTCATAATCCAGGAAGTTATTGTCCGATATATTTTGGATATAAACATATAATTTTTAAGTTTCTTCAAATTCGGATGAAAATTGTGACCACTGGAGTGTCTACAACCTAAACACGCGATTTTGCGTACCATCAGGGGCCATAATCCATGAAGTTAAGGTCCGATACATGCCAATAACAAAGGAACCGAGATCTTTGGGATTTAAACCTATATTTCAAGTGTCGTCAAAATCGGATAAAATTGTGAACGGACAGATGGACGTCAAGATGGGCGACGGCTATGTAACACCACATGAAAATGTGAGCGTATGAAAATGGTGTACCGTTCGAGGTGCAAAGGGACATTTTGATATTTTGTTTATAACGGACAGCTTTCTAGGGCGAGGTATTTATTATTATTATTATTATTATTATTATTACAGCATATTTATAGTGCGCCCTTTATATAACATGTTCAGGGGCACTTTACAAAGTGACAATATAATCATAAATAAACAACAAGATTATGGACATGTTAAAACGATTGTATACAGAGTCAGTTAAAAACCTGATTAAATAAATGTGTTTTAAGTTGTTTTTAAAAGAATATAGAGATGTACACTCCATATTCCATAAAACAGGTGCTTGATAACTAAAAGAGCGCTAGTTGAACAGTTGTGGGCTGGCTTTAAAAGTAGTTCATCTGATGTACGTAATGTTCGGCCAGGTGTATAAAGTTCTAAAAGATCTGAGAGGTAAACAGGAACTAAATTATTTAAACATTTAAAAGTAAGTAATCAAATCTTGGATGGCTGAATGGTTAGCGTGCGCTGTATCATAAAGTCTGTCATTGAGTCGACTGGCGTGGTTTCAAATCACCGGTTGTACGTGACAAGGAGTAGGGTCGCCTGTCCATCCTCGTGGGTTTTCTTCGGGTCCTCCGGTTTCCTCCCACTGCTAAAGACCCCTACGCGCAAGCGAATTATTGAAATAAAATTAAACCATATGTTAGTCCCGAAATGACCTAGTTTGTGTCGAGTAGACGTTAAACCCCATTTCTCTCTCTCTCTCTCTTTCTGATATTAATAAAGAACAATTTACAAATATTATTTACTTGAGCTCCCATAAGCACAAAACTATCAAAGATTGCATCGATGTTACGAGCAGAATAAGATGGAAATATATCACAATTACCAATTACAACAGGGGGGTTATCATGTGCAAATTTACTTAATTGATGCCTTGAGCCTAATAACAGATATTCGGTTTTATCATCATTCAATTTTAGAAAGTTCTTTGACATCCATTTTCTAATTTCACTAATACAGTTCTCAAGGTGCAATTTTGATAAATTGAAAGAATATGGACAATTAGGTGTGAATGAAATATATAATTGAGTATCAAAGGCATACAAATGATAGCTGAGACCATATTTTCTGACAATATCACCTAATGGTGACGTATAAAGGGTAAATAAAATCAGCCCAAGAACAGAACCTTGAGGAACCCCAATGACAAAACAGATTCAGACGACGATTTACAATTAACTAAAATGCACTGTTTTCAACCTCAAGATAGCTTTCTAAAAGATTTAATGCTGAGCCACAAATACCGAATTTAAAATGAAGTCTACGTTAAAATAATAGAATGATCCACCATGTCAAAAGCAGCAGATAAATCTAATAAAATTAAAAATGTACATTTTCTATTATCAATTTCCATTAAGATATCATTTTAAACCCGGGTTAAAGCTGTGTCGGTACTGTGAAATTGTTTATAAGCACATTGAAATGGTTCATACAAACAGTTATCATCAAGATGGGCCTTTATCTGAGAAGCAATAAATTTCTTTAATATTTTAGAAATAAAACTCATCACATTTCGTTATTTGAACGATCCTGGTGAGAATTATAATATTGTTAGGCACAGGCAACGGTTATTTAGACTACGGTATGTTTATCAAGCAAGCTAACATTAGGAATACACATTCGATCTGCATTAGTTTACTGACGTAAAATGCACGCATACAAAATTGACTTGATAACAGAAAATGTACATGTTCAGGACAAGACCTGCCGCAAAACAAAACAACCCAAACCCCTGTTCTGACAAATCAACAGGACTGTGCCCTTATCAAATATACAGGCCGCCCACATATGGCGGCCCAGGGCAAAAGTTTCAGTGACGTCTCTCGCCCATAGGGCTGGACAATAATTTCAATAAATCAATATATGTAAATTTTATTGACAACATTTTTTTACCATTAAAAATACGGCAATAACCAAATAATATATTGTTTGACTCTACATTATCGCCATTTCTCCAACAATATTCTTTCAAAGATTATTGTTTTTATTGAAACAAAGTATAAATCAGATTGGTCATACATAAGAATTACACTCTTAAAAATGTATATATGTTTGTAATTCACTGTCTGTACAAATTATTATGTCCACCATTGTATTGTAAACATAAGATTTAACTATTTTATATGTTTGGAGATAACTTATATAGGCCTTGCCTATATCGGTAATGTAAATTTTATTGGCAATAATTTTTTGATACCGCAATAATCCAATATATCGCTTGACTCTATATCTTATCTAAACATATGTAAGCTGGAATTAAATGAATTAAATTTACATGCTTCTCACAGAAAGTTGTTTAAAGGTTTGCCACCTTTTTTCGAGCCTTTTGTCTTGAAGCAGTATAATATTGCAATAATGGCAATACATTTTGTTTTTTTTATTGATATCGCAATAATGAAAATTTAAAATATCGTCCAGCCCTAACTGTAACTGCTTTGTTCAGATCGTGCGCTCAGTTGTTTTTTTAATGATTAAATACATTTTAAAACATAAATATTATACGTTTAACACTTTATCTAAATAATTATTTATTAAATCAACTTTATAATATGTAAAATTTTTATATTTATCTCCCCTTCAACTCCCTATTTGATCGAAAAACCCTGTAATATATCTTGGAAAAGTCATAATTCTACCCTCTTTATTTGTTGAAATATGAACTGGTTTACACAGGTTTAGGGGAAGCGAAGGCCGGTGATTTGCTATTTCAAAGGACCCCACCTCCCCATGCGAGGGTCCAGCATATATATCAGTCTTAGCAACAACTATCAAGCATCTATCATTATTTTATATCTGATGACCAACTAGTGGTCTTAGAAAAACTCCACAGTTTCAAGCGGCCATGGGCGTTTTATTGTATTGCGGCCACATCCGCGAACATTTCACGCGAAGAAAACAATGAGCTGTGGCTATAGAGTACAAAGATATAAAAAAAAAATAACTGTTTGGATTGGGGAAGGTGATGGGGTGCAGTCTATCTATCTTACTTGGGACCAAGCAGAAGCTATAGATTATTCCGTAAAAGAAAATTGTCCAGTTATTAGAACTGTATTGTTCAGTTGTATACTAGTCTAAACATATAAAGAACAGTATTAGACGTTATTATATGTACAGAAGAATCTGGAACATCCAAAGAAAAAAAAAATACAAATTTCAACACTCTTTTTAAAAAGCTTATTACAAATGGATCGCAACAGGCTTCCATAGTTTTTATTGCGTTCAAGGGAACTAACTCTACACTGTAAACATTTTTTTTTTCAAGGGCGAGACTTATGTCGCATAAGAAGAATGAATATTATCCTGTTAAAAGCTTCATATATTTTTCTATTAATGACAAAATCCTGAAAGTAAGACTAGTATTCTATTAGTACGGCATTTCTGGGGATTAGTGCAACCTCCGGGTCAATCATTTTCAGGATCTCGGACTTTAGCCCCACCTAATAATATTCATCATCATCATTCCTTTCATGTTAAAAAGTTAATTTGATTGAAGCTCTTTTTAAGGCCAAAAGTTAGGCATTGGTTTGATTATAAGGAATATAATGTGATTCATCTGGTCATATCCTTCTGGAAGGTGTGGAAAACTTAAAAAAAAATAGCACCCATGGATGGAACCTAAATATTAGGCCTATAGGCCTACTACCATGGTCTAATAATTTGTGATGTATTCAAAAAAGTTCTCTATTTCTGATGGCTGTTTTTTTAGTTGTAGTAAAACTAGCCAGAACTGAATCTGTGTAAATCTTGAGTATTACTTTAAGTTTAAAAGAAGACCAAATGAGCACAATTATGTTTTAGTTTTAAAGATGGGTTCCCGCATACAAACTGGGTGATGTAATGGTATATATGGACCAAAAACATATTCAAACTAATCAATTTGTCATAATTATGCTTCAAATCCTTCTCAAACATTGTAATTGCGAAGAAATGTCCTGCTATTAAAATTTGATCAAACCAGGTCATGTTTACGTCACGTCTTGGGAGTCAGAGGAGAATTCATTGCATACATAAGACGATGTTGTCTTTAATCGCTTACTATTTATTACAAATATCGAATCCTAATTAAATTCTCGGATTATCCACTGCCCGCGTCTTTTTCCGTCATTTTTATCTCAGAAAGTATTGTACGTCTAACTCTTCATAAAGTTTATCAACTTGTACATCAAGCGCTCAATGTTCGCTTGTGACCTTTGACATCATGCGTGCAGAAGTTCCTAATCGTCGGGCTGTTGATTAGGGGAACCCTTACATTTTTGTCCAGTATACACTCCATGAGTGTTTTTCGGGGAATCCAGTATTTTTCTAGTAAGATTAGATATCTCTACTTTCCATATATACCAAAATTGCCATACTTTTATTGGAAATAACCACCCGATAAATACTTTTCTGGGAACCCATCTTTAAATAATTTTCCCGGTAATATTGACAGGGGCATGCTCAAGATGACATTGGAGTTGACACCACGATATGGAATGACGAAAAGAGAATACACATCTGGTTACTTCAAACTTTAAAGGAGCTAAATCTCTATTCTTTGGCACCTAGAAATGACACAAATGGGTCGCAATGCTATGTAATATGAATGCATTTAAACTGATTTACATTCAATGGTTTCTGTTTTTGCTGTGATTTCTAATCAGTTATGTTTCTCAGAATACACAAAGAGTCTTAGTTGAATGGCAGTCTTTGGTGTCTGATATTAATCCAGTCTACACTGGTAGTATTCTTCTGTGGGATGTTTAGCCTCGATCATCGAGTCGCTTCATTACAAATTATGCTCAAAAGCATTCTGGCATGCGATTCTTGTGCCAATTTTAAACCTTTCATTTTGTCTTAAATGTTAGATCAGAAGACCATTTGTTCACATGAAGATAACATTAACGACATCAATGTTGATTTAATTTTAAATTGACCAAAAAGTTATGTTTGCAATGTCGAAATGAAATGAAATGGGGTTTAACATCCTACTGTTCTGCTCCGAACTGGGCTAATGAAAACGGGCATACGCCATACAGTGTGCTATGAGAGAAATTTTGCCCCAACAGTGGCACTACAGCCTACTCTTATATCAAATTGGTGTGCAGTATAATAATTCCAATGATCTTGAATATAAATTACTTATATTTTATAAACAGATCTGAACATTCCTCTAGTATGATAGAATAAGAACATACTTATTTGTGAGCAGAAAAAATACTAAACAATGGCCGGATATTTGAAGTCAATAGTTGGTGGTATATTTAATGCTGCAGCTGCTAATATCAATCCATATAAAATACAGATTGCTAATCCTGAGAGCTTTAAAGAGTAAGTAGGCTTATATGCGCTAATTATATGGATAATTTTCAGAAATCCAAGTGCTGATTCACTAAATTCAAGAGTTGTTAAACACCATGACAATTACTAAGAAATATGCAGGCTTTTTGGACCGACTGATTTGTCTCAAATTTTGCATACAGTTTAATTTGTGCATACCAGTTTCACTGTTTACTCAAATCATATAAAATCAAAAACGCTAATACCTTTTTTAAAGGGCTATTTCTCTTTCTAATAGGAATAGCCATCTGTAGAAAGTTAAGCCCCCTATATAGAATTTTCTATTTTGAATTATGGTTAGTAATGATAACAACTTGACATTTGACTTTATTTAAACAACTGTTGTTATATTTTGTAGTTTGAATATTATTACTAGAGATGATTGTTTGTATTTGTATAAAAGACCAGGGTGTGTAGAATGTGTTTTAATAAGTACAGCTGGTGTTAGCAGTAAATGGTATAGGTATGCACACATTTTTTGTGTTAATTGAAAATGAGATATAATTGAATTTGAGATATATGCGCAATGAATAAATGAATACCAGTTTCTATAATAGTTGATCATCAATGTTTCAAAGATGATGTCTTCCAAGGATGACAGATAGATAATGTTTAAACTTTAAAGTACACTAACATAGCAAAATTCTCATTCCATATAGTACAGGTATTAAAAGGACAGTCCCAGATTTCACAAATCAAATAAAAGTGAAATTAAGTATGTGTATGTAAATCAAGTGGCAATATAGCTTATTTACTGTATCTGAAAATTTTGAATGAAAATCAAAATATTGAGCCAGTCCAAAATGATCACTGGATTGGCTTAATAGGGTTACACAGCTCATTTATGGAATCTCAGTCTTCCATTGTATAAGTACAATAACTTTTAAATCTGACGATCACTTCAAATTATCATTGGATCTTTTAAAGAAACCTATTGATTTTAGGAAACTTTTTGAACTTTACATGGCACTTGATTGTCATTAGATCTTTATGAAATATTAAAGAGAAGATAATACTTTTTTGAGTGTGAAACCATGTCAACATTATATATCATTGGATCCTTAGTAAATTTTACTGGTATTGATTTTATGATAACTTCACCTTGATTATAAAACTAATACTAATACAGATAATTTTTAAAATGGCATAATTATATATCATTGTTTGGTTCCTGTTTTCTTTTTACTTTTGAAGTTTGTTTCGACTTACAAGTGAAGGAGATGCAAATGCGTTATTTAGTAATCTGTGTGCAATTTTACTACCATTAATTGTCAGCAGTAGTTCTGTGTACCAAGAAGACAATCTACAAAAGATCTGTGATAATATTCGAGAACATCCTACATGGAATGTAGCTCATGTAGCTGCTTTTGTTGGTTTGTTTGAAGCTTTCAGACATCCATCAGTGAACAAGTAAGAATGCTTCTTTTGGCCACTAACTTATGAGTAGTTTTTGTGTGAAACATTTTACTCTTGCTCTGGGCTTTTTGTTCTGGCAATAGGATGTTAAACCCCATTTCATTTCATTTCATGTTTTGTTCTGGCTATAGTGATGACCTTTTTCAGAATATTCACATGGATTCCATTCCTGTTATACATAACATTTTAATATACTGTTTATTAACTGAATCATTTAGACACTTCTCATTGAAATGTGTTGTATGTTGTCGTCACAACCATCTCTAAGAGCCTAAAATTATTATCCGATTGATTTTAAATTTTCGTACAGTGTTTATGTTCATGAGACGAAGAACCCTATTGATTTTCCGATAATTCATGGTGAGTTATGGCCCTTGTTCTCATAGAAAATCTTGTGGACGCTCTATCGGATAAAGTTATCATTATTTGACTAACTTGAAATGTATACACTGTCGACCCATGAGATGAAGAAATCTTTTAGTTTTAAATGATTTCCATTTAAGCAGGAATGCCAACATTTTATTGGCTTTATTTTTCAGTAATAGATCGATAGATATTTGGTTCCTTGGGAAGTTTTCCAAGGGGCTAACTAGGCTCAAAATGTTAGTTATCAATGGGAAATAGAATTTGAGCAATAATCAGTGCAAAATGCTCCCAAAACTGCAAAATTTTCTCATTAGCGTCACTCCTAAGACCCCAAAGGATGTTTCTACTGACATCTAGTGATAGAATTTGTAAACAATTTTAATTGCAAAACTGGTTTGAGAGGTGACAATGGCAAACAGAATAAAACCAATTTATATATCAAAAGTAATAAAATTACTAACTTTGTTCAGGCCCTTTGATTCCAGGAGCCCAACTTGATGCTTCTTCTGAAAGCATAAGATAGAATTGTAAATAGGTTCAAAGTGGCATTGCAATGCTCTGGAAATGCCATGTTTACTAGTTAGGTCCCCTTGATGTACCTTTGATTATCTTGTTATAGGTTTTTAAGCACAGGATGTAGTGTAACTGGTATAGGACCTGTTCACGCTGCTATATCTGGTCAACAAATACAGTGTGTACAAGAATTATTAAAATGTGATGCTAGTTTAGAAATAGCTGACACTCATGGTAATACAGCTTATCATCAGGCTGTTAAAATATTACCTACAGTTATTCCAGTAAGTTTAATTTTCTTATCTTTTTATTCACCGATGACATTCAACATGAGGACTGGCAATAAAAATTTTATGTGAAAGTTGCTGATTTCACTGTAAATAAATGTGGATTTAAGTGTATTCAACATGTATTACTTTGTTAAACAATTTCAAATCAAAACATTCAGAAATGATGGCTAGATTTTCTTCATGAGGTTGGTTATGTAACTCATTTAGCTTAAGGTATCTCATCTATCTCTTTCTCCAATTGTATGAGTGACTTGATAATCACAATTACAACTTACCACAATAACTTTAATGAGCAACAAGTTTTATTTACTAAAATATTCAACAGTGACTGCTCTTTTACATATAATGGCAATGTTGTAACTTGTAGTACAGTGGACTTTTAATTCAGACATTAAAGAGATCTGATCATAGTGGTGTATGTGGACTGTTATTTCAGATATTAGTGGACTACTTTGTTATATTTCAGATATTAATGAGATATGATCATAATGGTGTAGTACAGTGGAATATATTTTCAGATATTAGTGAACTATTTTGTTATATTTCAGATATTAATGAGATATGATCATAACGGTGTAGTACAGTGGACTATTATTTCAGATATTAGTGGACTATTTTGTTATATTTTAGATATTAATGAGATATCACGACTGTGTGGTAATCCAATGGACTTCTTTGTTATATTTTAGATATTAATGAGATATGATCATAGTAGTGTAGTACAATGGACTAATAAACAAGGAGAAACTGCCATATATACAGCTTGTAAGATGAATCTTCCAGATGCTACAGAGATGTTATTACATGCTGGAGCTGATCCTAATATATCCTCTACAGATGCTCTTCCAATACATATAGCTATACAAGAAAATAATCTACAGTTAGTATACTCTAAAGTTTTTATACGACCACATTTTCATGTGGACGTATATTGTTGTCGCCCCTGTCCGTCCGTCCGTCCGTCCACAATTGTTTGTGAACAGTCTACAGGTCACAATTTTTATCCGATTTCAATGAAACTTGAAATATAGGTTTATCACCCTAAGATCTCGGTTCCTTTCGATATTGGCATCTATCGGACCGTAACTTCATGGATTATGGCCCCTGATTGTACGAAAAATCACGTTTTTGGCTTGTGAACACTGTAGAGGTCAGAATTTTTATCCGATTTTATTGAAACTTGAAATGTTAGTTTATAACCCAAAGATCTCGGTTCTTTTCGATATTTGCGCATATTGGACCGTAACTTCCTGAATTACGGCCCCTGATTGTACGTAAAAACGCGTTTTTTGGCTTGTGGACCCTATAGAGGTTATAATTTTTATCCGATTTAAAAAACCGTATTATTATATCACCGTTAAACCCTAAGGACGGCTGAGTTTGAATTTCGTGAAAATCGGCCCAAAACTGACAGACAAAATGGCCGCCGTTCATTCTCAAATAGCGTAAAAATATGGTATATCAAGGTTGTGGACCCTATAGAGGTCACAATTTTTATCCCATTTTGTTGAAACTTGAAATGTAAGTTTATAACCCAAAGATCTCGGTTCCTTTCTATATTCGCGCATATCGGACCGTAACTTCATGACTTATGGCCCCTGATTGTACGAAAAATCACGTTTTTTTGGCTTGTGGACCCTATAGAGGTCATAATTATTATCCGATTTAAAAAATCGTATTATTATATCACCGTTACACCCTAAGGACGACTGATTTCGAATTTTGTGAATATTGGCCCAAAACAAACAGATAAAATGGCCGCCCTTCGTTCTCAAATGGCGTAAAAATATGGTATATCAAGGTTGTGGACCCTATAGAGGTTACAATTTTTATCCGATTTTGTTGAAACTTGAAATGTAAGTTTATAACCCAAAGATCTTGGTTCCCTTTGATATTCGCGCATATCGGACCGTTACTTACTGAATTATGGCCCCTGATTGTACGAAAAATCGCGTTTTTAGCTTGTGGACCCTATAGAGGTCATAATTTTTATCCGATTTAAAAAAAGGTATTATTAGGCTATATCACCGTTACACCCTAAGGACGACTGAGTTCGAATTTCGTGAAAATCACCCAAAACTGACAGACAAAATGGCCGCCGTTCATTCTCAAATAGCGTAAAAATATGGTATATCAAGGTTGTGGACCCTATAGAGGTCACAATTTTTATCCGATTTTGTTGAAACTTGAAATATAAGTTTATAACTCAAAGATCTTGGTTCCTTTCGATATTTGCGCATATCGAATTGTAATTTCCTGAATTATGGCCCTTGATTGTAGGAAAAATCACTTTCGTTTTAGCTTGTTTTCTATCCATCTCTCGAAAATGTGGGCGTATCCTGCCTGGCAGCCGCTGGTTAAATTTATCTGTCGACAAGTCATTTCTTTTTATAGAACACCTAATACCACATATTCATATATTTAAAATCTTCAAATTCCTAAAAAAAAAATGTTATTCTTTGGAATAGAAATTTTTCAATTTTTTTTTTATTGATTTCCATTTTTGAAATAGGATATAAAGAATTTAAAACCATGGCCAGATGGTACTCAAATTTGAGGCAATTTCATACTTTTGCATATATTTATCCCTCTAGAATGTTTTGTTCTTTTACAGATCTGCTGAATTGATTCTAAGAGATCATCCTGATCAGTTATCAGTTGTAGATAATAAATATGGTGCCACTCCTTTACATTGGGTTAAATCAAAAGAAGTAAGAATCACAATTAGTAAATTAATAATCCACTGTAAATTTATTCTTTAAGATTTTTTTCACTCATTACTAAAATTAATTATCTAAACATTTCTAAATTAAACATCTATAGGTCTGACTTAATATTTAATACTGTGAGGCCACAACAATTGATGTGTAGTTCTTTGGAACACCTAAAAAAAAATTATAGTAAAAAGACAAATGTTTAAACAGAAATGTTTGTTTTTTTCTTCTCAAAAGCTCTTAGCCCCAAATTTCAAGTTTTAAAATGTTGAAAATAAAACTTAGCTGATGTATGTGACTCAAATTAGCATACCGAAAAACTAAAATTCACTTTTATTTGGCTCAATATCATATATATTTCGACTTTATGGTATTTGAAAGTATTCAGTTATTAGTTATAATGACAGTGCGTTGTATGTGTTTATTATCAGGCTGTAGAGATGTTAGCTAGATTTGGTTGTAATATGAATGCTGTTAGTTCACATGGTGATACAGCTCTACATGTTGTAATGAAGAAGAAATTAATAGATTGTGTAATGTCATTATTGTGCTATGGTACAGATTGTAATATACTAGATAGCGATGAAGAAACACCATTGCATTGGGCTGTACAGGTAAATTGATTATATTATTGCATGTCTATAAATAACTTAGTAAAAGAAAATCTAGTGAGATCATTTGGCTTAATTGATTCATTTTTACAAAGTATTTATATAAAGAAAAATCATTTGGGGATTTGGGAGGATGTATTGTGTTCTATTTGAGCCACATGTGATATCAAGTGTTCTAGACAGAATACCCTGCCATTACCAACAGTGACATAGGCTAATATGGGGGGGTGGGGGTTAGTGAGCAATGACTACCAGCAGTCTCAACAGACCTCTTTCAGATGTTTCACACTAGGTTCTACATGGTCTGTGCTAACTTATATGTGTTAGGATTTTTAAGGGGAACAGGCGTGGTTCTCATATATTTGGTCCAGGGAAGTTGTAGGCAGAGGGGGAGGGGATACATCTAGATTCTTCACATATACATAGTATCAATATTAACAGTTGTATTGGTTAAATACTAAGAATTTAAAAAATTGTTTATTTGACGCAGAAGATATTACAAGAAATATAAAATGTTTAAATAGGACATCATAAGGATTTGACACTAAAGAGAATTGATGTTAGATTTGGGGAGGGGGGGGGGGCGTAGGTGTTGGCTTGAACAAAGTGTTATTTAGTAGTACCACTCACAGTCTCTACCCTTTAAATTTCCTTTGTATGGGTCCAATGCTTTTATTTTTGGTGATATTCCCCAAAGAGCTAAAAGAGATAATTCAATTTGTATTATACATTAAACCATGAATGTTTGGAATTTGATTTTCTCATCTACTATTCATATTGAATTTATTTTTCAATAATAGAATGATGATATTGAATATGTTAGAACATTTATTGTATTTGGTGCTGATGTTAATCAGAGAAACAAAAAACAACATTCCCCTCGTCATATTGCATCTACCTCAAAAGGCAAAAACAGGTAAGATCTAAATGTTTTTTCACACTTTTTTGGTATGAAGAGATATTAAGGAAAGCTTGCATAAAAGTAAATGTACATTTAATAAAAAGAATCACATAACCTTACACAGAAAACACATAAATATACATGCAAGTAATACATTGATAGGATACATGTTGATACAAACAATAATATATTTAATGAAATTCAACTAGTTCCCATAAATTTGAATTCAATCTCTCATCAAAAGCCAAGAACACATATAATGCCATTGCCTTGGCAATCAATTTTGGTGGTTCAAAATGGTTAACAAAATTGTATGAATCTCTGGATTTGCTGAGAAGGCTTAGTATAAATTTATGATTGTATTATACCTTCCCTGCGTAAAAAAATCAATAATTATCTTATAAAAGAACTTTTTGGTACACAAGTTACGTTTTGCATAAAATAGATGTCCCAAGTTTATTTTTAAAATTGTTTTTTTATCTTTTATAGAGAATTGATTTTATATTTATTACATATTGCTGGAGCTAAACGATGTGGTGTTGATATAAAGGGTTGTTTACAAGGATGCGTTGCAGAAGGAAGTCATAATGGTGTACCTAATCCTTCAATGAAAACATTACTTAAATTAGATAGTGTAGGTCAGTACATTATCAATAGTTTTAAGTACTATTACTGGTATATGATATATTGTTAATTTGATGTATTAACCGCAATACACACTTACCGAAATGGTGAAGTGTGAATGGCAATACAAATCTATTTTTGTTATGAAATACTCTGTAAGTTAAAAATATTTCTGGATCAAAATTACTCACATTGCACTGAAAACACCACTCACTTGCTCACTCACTGTCAACACAATAAACAAATTCTACTTGTATTGAAATACAAACAATTAATTTGTTCAGTATTTATGTTATATTTTGTTGTTAAATTTGTGGTGACCTGACTATAGCGCGATACAAATTCTATTGCAACGCTTGTATTGTGATACAGATTGAATTTTATTACGCCATTAGTTTTGTGATAAAACATTGTATAGTCACAATACCCAGCACTATTAAGTACATGTATTCAGATAAAACCCCAAATAGTTATTTCTTGTTGTATGTAAACTGTGTGATATCTTCCCATATTTTCTATGTACAAATCTCCAATGTAGTGTGTGTAAAATATCCCTTAAATTACGGTTAAAATACACAGAAGAGACAGAAATACTGCAATCTTTGGAAAGTTCTAAAAATTTCACATATAAACCCATGAAAGAATAGTCTGAAAATTGGCCTATTAACTTTAAGTATGAACAGTCTTTACTATACTTCACACTTCCTTGAGAAAGTTAATTTGATATTTGTTGTAGCCTTATTCGATGATTTATTATCTGCTCGTGTAACGTGTGAAGCCAAAATGGAACATGGACAGGGTTCTGTATTAGACATGGTAAATGCACCAACTAATGCTGGAGATAGAGTAAGTCTGATTTCTTCAAATTTATATTTTAATTCGAAACTTTACAACCTGCATTTTGGGACTAACATATGGTTCAATTTTATATCAATAATTCGCTTGCGTGTAGTGGTCTTTGGCAGTGGGAGTGAAACGGAGGACCCAGGGAAAACCCTCGAGGTTGGACAGTCGACCCTACTCCTTGTCACGTACAACTGGGGAATTGAAACCACGCCAGATAACTCAATGACAGGCCTTATGATACAGCGCACACTTGCTAACCATTCGGCCACCCAACCCCCCTAATTCCTTGAAACAAGTCCCATTCAAATGGCTGAAAAAAAACCCAAACAGTCTTAAATATCTTTGGAATTACTTACTGTCTTGATCTAAACATTGAAGTTGATAGATTTACATTGATAAATCATAACCATAAAAGTCCTTCATTAGCATCTGCACAATCTGTTATTAAACGAAACGAAATATAAATATTTTGTAGATTTTAAGTTTAGATGGTGGAGGAATAAGAGGTTTAATACTAATACAAGTACTAATGGAGATAGAGCATGCTATGGGCAAACCAATTCGTGAATGTTTTGATTGGATTGGAGGAACCAGTACAGGGGCTATTCTAGCTCTAGGTATTGCTAAAGGTAAATGAAAGCAATCACGCTCGCATAAATAGATCAAGTTGTATGTAGACAGGTACTGAAATTGGTTTAAACGTTTTCTATAGCCTGTACATTAGAAACAGATATTTTTGATTAAAAATTAATTTAATTTAACTTTCTTAGGTAATCCAATTTAATAGTAACATTCTGTTTAGATTAGTTTCTTCTTTTGACTGTAATAGAAGTAGGATTAGAAAATATGAATGCCTCTGTTTTAGAAGACATATTAATACATATTTTGGTTTTACTAGTTTATGATTATACTGTATTTGTTGTTATCTATTTTAGGTGTTTCCTTACAGTATATGAAGGGTTTATATTTTCGGATGAAGGATGAAGTATTTAGAGGGATGAGGCCATATTCTTCTGAACCTTTTGAAGAAATGTTGAAACGAGAATTTGGCAGTGACACTGTCATGTCGGATCTGAAACATGCAAAGTAATATAGTCTAGTTCCCTTTACCATATTTTGTTTACGTTATATTTGTTTATGAAGTCACTTTCCTCAGTTGGCTTGAAATGAAGATTTTAATGAGAGAGAGAGAGAGACTTCCACTTTACACAAACCTGGTGATTTCATCACTGCCTGTAGACATTCCTGCTTGTTATCACGAACAAGATTGGGATCGAAACCACGCCACTTGACTCAGTGACACCCCTTATGAGTGTGTTAGACCACTCAACCTCCAAGTTTTTAATGTGTCTAGATTAAACCAGTTGACAGATGAGAAATTATAGGTCAGGAAACAGTTTGTATTCTAAAGATATATTGTACATAGGTATAATGTACAATGTACATACATAATTGAAGAGGTTGTTCATAATTTTTCTATTGCTTAGTTTTACCACTCACTTTTACTTAACATTTGCCAAGTTTTATCATTGCATTTTGTGCTTACTTGTGTACTGTAATCAGCCAATGTAAGCACAGCTTTTCCAATCACGTCAAGACATCGTCTACTGACGATGTGCAGATGTCAGCTGTCTAAATTATATATTTATATATATTCATCTTATGTAGTGTAGAAAATCAGAACCTTAAATACATGTGAAATTATGCATATTGCAATCTGCACAGCTAAAAAGTGTAGAAAAGAAACCATATTATGTTTTGTGTCCTAAAGATTATTGTAGTAATGCATAAGTCAGGACTGCATATAAAACAGTATACTTCAAATTTGAATATCATGACTGTAATATTAAATCTGTCTTGACTAAATTTAACACAAAGTTTTGACCTACAATGGTATCTGAACAAAACTAAAGTACCGAATTTAGTTGTTTTTAGTGATTTATTTCTGTTTAATAGAGTTATGGTAACAGGTGTTAAAGCTGATACATTTCCGGCTCAGTTTCATTTATTCCGTAATTATATCAACCCATTTAAAATGCCTCATACTGGAAAATCTAAAATAAATGATGATGATATACTTCCTCATAGTAAGTATATATTTATATATACATGTAGATTATCTATCTCCTCTTGGCCAGTATATATTGTATATACATATTAATAGATTTTATACCTCAAATATCCAGGAAGAAACTGCAGCAGGTTAGTATATATTGTATACATGTAGATTACATACCGCCTCTTGGACCGTAAGCATATATTAATATATTGTATACAGGTAGATTATATACTGCCTCTTGGTAAGCATATATTGTATACATGTAGATTATTTACCGCCTCTTGGCAAGCATATATTTTATACATGTAGATTATATACCAGCTCTTGGCAAGTTTATATTGTATATACATATAGATTACATACCGCCTCTTGGCAAGTTTATAGTGTATAGACATATAGATTATATACCTCAAATATCCAGGAAGGGACTGCAGCAGGTTATAGGACTAAACTCTAATTTTGAATGTCCAAGATCTGATTCCTGGCATGTTACAATATATGAGTTCCACCTGCATATACATTGATGGGGTAAAATAACCCTTGATAATTGCAATTTGAAGAACAGTAGGTATTGACAAGTAACCATAGTAAAGAAAACTAAATGTTTCTTAGTCTCAAAAAATGACAAACAGTGAGAGAAATGGGGTTTAACATCCACTCAACACAAACTAGGTCATTTTGTGACTAAGGTATGGTTGGTTCCATTTTATTCAATAATTCGCTTGTGTGGAGGGGTCTTCAGCAGTGGGAGGAAACCGGAGGGCCCAGAGAAAACCCACGAGGTTGGACAGGCGACCCTATTCCTTGTCACGTACAAGCGGGAAATCAAAACCATGCCACTTGACTCAATGACACATGTTAACCATTCGGCCACCCAACCCCCAAAAATGCCAAATATAAATAGTTAATAAAACATTAAATCTGACTCCATTCCAGAATGAGCAAAATAGGCTACAATAATAGATGAAACATTTATCTGATGTTGGAATTGTGTTATATTTATAGATCAGCTGGTATGGAAAGCTGCACGAGCCAGTGGTGCTGCCCCTACTTATTTTCGCTGTCATGGTAACTTTATGGATGGTGGTTTAATGGCCAATAATCCAACCTTAGATATACTAACAGAAATTAATGAGTTTAATAAAGGACTCAAGATGGACGTAAGTATTTATATTTTTACCATAGAAAGGGCCTGAATATCTTCTTTTAAATTTCTTAAAATGTATGTTGTGTTATGTTATGTATGACCGGCTGTAGCTAAATTAGACAAATGTGTTTGACAGTTAGACCCCCTATTATAAAACAAGAAAGTGTGATTATTATTTTTTTGTGTAAAAATAAAATTATTCCCCAGATGCCGAAAGGCCAAAATTGGGTTTGCGTGCAATAGAGCCAAGCTTTCTTTGTTTCATTAATTTTCGATCAATATTTTTTGCATGAAATAAGTATTCAAGTGTATACACACCTCAGAGCTAGTATCTCAGCCATATACCAAGATACATGCATATATGTCACATACCAATTAAAATAACACATAATTTAAATTGATCCATAGTTTTCATTCACATATCATCTGTAAATAATGTTAGAAATAGAAATAAATTTACATATTACTTTTTTGAAGTTATTCGATGATTATTTATGTCAATGATGTGAAACGTCTATAACACTGTATAAATTTTAGATAAGATTTATTTATTATTTTATGGAAGTTCATTGAGGTGAGGGAAGGTCTGTAGAATATGTGTCATATTTTAATTACATATGGCTTCATTAACGAAATAACACACTTTTATGGAATAACAATTACTATGGTTTATTTCACTGCGACGTTTTAACCAGATTTCACAAGTCGTTATCAAATCGCAGTGAAATAAACCATAGTAATTGTTATTCCATAAAAGTGTGTTATTTGATTATGTTCCAATTACTAAATGCCATATTAACAGGATATTATTGGTATGATGAATATTTTAAAAAACATTACATTGTTTATTTCAGAATTTAGATGATCAGATTCGACCACTTGGTTGTGTTATATCTGTTGGTACTGGTAGATTACCAGAAACAGAAGTTAAAAATGTTGATGTATTTAGACCAGAAGGATTATTTGATGCTGCTAGATCTGTATTAGGATTATCAGCTTTAGGTAATCTTATAGTTGACCAGGTCAGTATTTACGAAATGAAATGGGGTTTAATGTCCTACTGTTCTGCTCCTAACCTGGGCTAATGAAGACGGGCATATGCCATACAGTGTGCTATGAGGGAAATTTTGCCCAGGCAGCGGCACTAAGGCCTACTCTTATATCGAATTCCAACTGCCAAGGGATCTTTTTAGTGCACGCCAATGTATACACGGGACCTCGGTTTTTCGTCCCATCCGAACGACTAGACAGCTGTCCTTGTCAGGCCCTCCATCCTGCATCACTGACAAGGGGAAACCAGGCCGGAAAATCTGGATGAACTTTCTCGGCCAATGCAGGGATCGAACACCCGACCTCCAGGCTAGCGAGCCAGCGTCTTACCAACTTAGCTTACACTCACTTTGAGCAATCTACATTAACTAAATACTGAATAATTATCATAAAAAGTAAATATAATAGACTGCCTGAAGGCTGAATATCAGCATAAAAAAGGGATACATTGCCAACAGTTTTACATTCAAAAACTAAGAATATAATAAGCACTGTTCTGAAATAGCAGACTCAAGGGGTTCAAACACTCCCATCACGCGCAGGGCTTATTTTTTTTCGCCTACATAAATTGAATTAACATCGAAAAAACAGCGAAGCATTGCCGCCATTTTAAATTCACTCCACTGGAGTCCACTCTAATCTTATGCATGGACGCTTCTAAATGAGCAAATTTCTGAACAGGCCCCTGAATAGTACTGTTACCAGTTCTTAGTTCCAATTCTGAACCATTTTGGTTTGGTCAATGTTAGGTTGTATTTTGTGCAAATCCAGTATTTTTTTTAGTTAAAAATTTATGTTAGTATAAATGCTTTTAGTAGAAAACCATTCTACAAAGTGTTTCAATATTTGATTACAAATTACGGAAATATTTTGTTATTTTTGTAGGCGACAATATCTGAAGGTAGACCAGTAGACAGATCTCGAGCCTGGTGTAGTATGATCAACGTACCATTTTACAGATTTAGTCCACAATTATCTGAGCATGTGGGTCTAGATTGTCATGATAATAAAACACTGATTAATATGATGTGGGAAACACAGTGTTATATGGTAGCAAATAGACATAGAGTAAATGAACTAACCTCATTACTTTGTGGCATAGAGCAGTAAGATTAAAGGAAATAATCTTGTTTGTATATTGATGAAAGCTATTCGGATCAACTTTTAGAAAAATTCTAGTTGCCCGATGATCAACGTACCATTTTATAGATTTAGTCCACAATTATTCAAGCATGTGGGTTTAGATTTGTCATGATGATGATAAAACACTGATTAATATGATATGGGAGTGTTAATGGTAGCCAATAGTGCTCCTACGGCTAGTAGGATAGTCGTAAACGGTTAGAACTGGACGGTTAAACAGTTCAAATTCAACGGTACGGTTATTCAGAGATGTCCCCCATTACATAGAATAGTGTCTGATTATATTCCTCTTTATAACAAAACTTGCCTGTTGTCATTTTGTATTTGATGTTTGGAAAGCAACAGTCGTCCTACGATGTCGACTGCTAAAAAATAATACTATTAATACTCGTCGTAGTCATACGACAAAGTCAACGGACCTGGTTCTGACTTTAGCTTTTGTTAATCCATTCTAAATACTTCTCGGCATTTCTAACTATATTCTACCTTGTTTAATATTTATATATAAATGTAACCACCATTCAAAATATATTAATAAAGGCTAGAAAATGACTTTATAGTAGATTTGTTACGACATTCAACACGTTTCATATCTTGTAATTTCTCGCAAGAATTCTACTTTGGATTTAAGTTAAATTAACCAATCATAAAAATTCTACTTGCAAGCTAGGAATTATTTCTTTATTGTCCAATCAACAGACGTATTCCAATTTACTTTGTTCTATTCTTAGTAACATTGTGTAATCGTAATATTATCGCCATATGTCACGTACGAAGGGAAACAGAGTATTGTTTTGTATATTATCGTAGATATATATTGAATTAAAAAATGTTTCAAATGAACCAAGTTAACCAGGTAAACAAATAACTACGGCCTTACATAGTTTAAATTTTCATTAAAGAATTGTACATTTCTATGAAAAGATTCCTGAAACTTTTGCACGTGTAATGCCTTTTAGGCGAGTATAGCGTGCGCCTCAGTAATGACTCGCAGCTCCTGACAAGCTCTGTTTTAAGTTTAAAATTGATACCATACAGTTAAACGGTTACTAACCGCTTAATAGCTACGGTTATTCGAATAACAAAAAGTCCTAACTGTAGGAGCACTAGTAGCAAATAATCCATTTGTATCTATATTGATGAAAGCTACTCAGATCAACTTTTAGAAAAATTCTAGTTGCCACTGTTCAAGAGGGTGTGGTTGGTTGGTCGGAGTGGTCTAACATGTGTGCTTTAGATCATAAGGTCTGTCATGGAGTCAACTGGCACAGTTTTACTGCTTAGCTTGTATGTGACAAGGAGTATAGGGTCACCTGCTCAACCTTGTTCGTTTTCTCTGGGTTCTCCGGTTTCCTCTCACTACTAAAGACACCTAAATGCCAGCGAATTATTGAAATGAAAGTTACAATATCTTAGTCCCAAGATAAACCAGTGGACATTAAATCCAATCGCTCTCTCTCTCTTTTTTTCTCCCACTGTTCATGAAGTGTACCCTTAATTAAAGAAGACCATATTAACCTCATAAATACTAACAGATCTTATAATATTGGCATCCCCATGCTTATAAATGGTGATGTTAGTAAATCTGTCAAATTAGTTTATTTTGTGTATCGAAACTAACTTTTAGTCATCTTTCAGCCATTTCCAATTGGAAATTGGCAGTTTTGGGTCCACCCAATCTCTTATATAATATTTGATGTACAAAATCTATAATTTATATCATAGGCTTGGTTGCACGCTTCCTTTCTTAATGAAAGGTATGTATCCTTAAAATGTTCTAGTTAATTTTAGTGAAGAAGGTCTCTGTGGGTCCAGGCTATGTTTGGGTATCCTTTTCCTCAATAAAGCAGTCATGTCAAACTATAAATATTTTAGTAGTTTTTCTCCAAATAATGGCTTGCATCTTCAAATTGCTTAATTTTGGTTAAATTTATAGAGCTATTTTATTGAATCCAGTATTATTTTGAACAACACACTGTTATGCAGTGTAACGAGGCGAGCTGTGATATTCAATTTTGTTTTATTTAAGGTCTATGATTATTTGTGGAACCATGAGTTATAAAAATGTAGTAATAGTTATTTATGATCATACCATAATGGGATTATGCTATGCACTATGTGTTAATATGTTTTACTATATTATATATTATGTATGGGTTTATATTGTTCTGTATAATTTGTTTTGTTCTGTATTGTACAATTGGTATTGTTCTGTTAAGGTCACAACATAAATGATAAAAAATTACGAAACTTTATTTTTAATACACTTCAGTATCCAGTCATGATGGTTTATCTTTTGGTTTTCTTTTTTTGTTTTCTTTTTTTATATTTTGTTGGGGTTTTTTTCGGGGGGGGGGGGGGGGGAGTATAAACACTTGGTTAATCACATCTTGATATATACGGTAAATATATAAAGCGCCACATTAATCTCTGTGATGTTAAACTATATAACTGGTAAATGGGTCTCATGTATGGAATGATGTTGATGAAATTGCTAGCTGCCAGCTAGGTGATTAGATGGAGGATGGTGTCTAAGATCTGTAAAAGAATAAATCAAAGGGAGGATATCCTACTTTAAACAATTTTTGTTTTTGAAAATTGAATTGCTTTGATACTAGATAAAACATTTAATATATTGTTTTCATTTCTTATATATTTATTATATTTAATCTGTTTAAATTTGTAATATTCAAAATTGTAGTAAATGTTACACACTCAGGATTTTGTGTTACGGTTAAAATGTAAAATGAATGGAGAGTGAAGAAATAAGCAGGATTTGATACTTAAGAACGTGTGTACACAAGATTGCAAGTGGGTCGCTTATGATGTCAGATTCTTTGGGGCTTAAAACTATAATATGTCCTCGGTTTCAAAACATCCCAACTACCAAGAAATATATATTTGTTAAAAACCTGATATCTTTTGAGATACTTTACTAGAAATTTGTTGACAATCAAAATTTTTGTTACCGTAGCCATGTATTACACTTGCAAGTTGCAAAACATGAAGGTATGGAAGATTAATGTTGCCAATATTATTTCAATATTCACGGTGCAAACTGCATATGTCAGCAGTTCAAAATTTTCAATTTCCATTGCTCCACAATACCAATGTCACAATAGATTGATCGCGTAAATCCTTAATTTCTGTATGTAAATGATGTTCCTCGTAGATTCCATATAAGGCATATGTTCTAATATGCTAAGCTCTATTATGCATTTGCATAATAACTATTATACTGTATTTTGTATTATTGAAAAGTGTACTCTGTATTTTAACACTGTGATATTGGTATTTTTTCGGGGGGGGGGGGGGGCATGGCCTTGCCCCCTGCTGGCTATACGGGCCTGGGTTGATGCTCTGTAATAAATAACTTATTAGAAAATTCATTAAAAATATACTTTCAGATAAAAATAAAATACAGGATGAAACTGATGACCCATCAATGCTGGGGGAAACATATCTTTCCAGATATATTAAAGCTGTTATTTAATTATAAAGCCTGTCATTGAGTCAACTGGCATGGTTTCGAATCCCTGGTTGTACGTGACAAGGAGTAGGGTCGCCTGTCCAACCTCGTGGGTTTTCTCCGGGTCCTCCGGTTTCCTCCCACTGCTAAAGACCCCTACGCGCAAGCGAATTATTGAAATAAAATTAAACCATGTGTTAGTCCCGAAATGACCTGGTTTATGTCGAGTGGATGTTAAACCCCATTTCTCTCCCTCTCATCTTAACCATTTCTCAGATGGGAACCTATCTGGAAGCTATGACCCATAAAGCTGTTCCAAGCTTATGTAGCTAGCTCAAGAATATAAGAAAATCACACATGCAAAAGTCCCCAACTAAATGTATAGGGTGAAGGGGTGGGTGGCTTTAAATAAATACACGTGGTTGACAAATAAATATAACACAAACACGAAACCGAACAAGGAATATAAATATAAAAATGGCAATAAAGGCATTATACACCTTTTACAGGTTATATTATGGAGTAACAGATTTGGTGCTCGGGCTGTATATTATTTTATACAGAAGTTCTATTTGGCAGTTCCGTATTTTAGTTGATGGTGTAGTAATTAAATTTAGATTAATTGGAATATATTAGGTTTTTATATACACATATTGATTGATTAAGAAATTCGTGAAAACGATAATTTAAAATAAAATACAATGAAATTCATCGCCAGTATCATTCAGATTGCATGGTGTGCATTTTCTTTCATTAGCCTACCTTCTGATAAAGCCTTATCATCAGAGAGAGAGAGAAATGGGGGTTAAATGTCCACGCGACACAAACTAGGTAATTTTGGGACTAACACATGGTTCAATTTTATTCAATAATTCGCTTGCACATAGGGGTCTTTAGCAGTGGGAGGAAACCGGAGAAAATCCACGAGGTTGGACAGGCGAACCTACCGATCCTTGTCACTACAACCGGGGAATCGAAACCATGCCAGTTGACCCAATGACAGACCTTATGATACAGCACGCAGGTGCTAACCATTTGGCCCCCCCCCCCCATCCCTCCTTATCATCAGCTTACATTAATAAGAATATTATATAAGAATTAACTCACATTAGTACATTAATAGATATTCAAATTATAGCCTAACGTTAAAGGAATTTAAAAAATAAATAAATCCACATCAGCCCATAAATATTTGTTTCATAAATCAATACAAAAAGAATTGTTTTTGAAAACATAATCTGTAAAATGTCGCGTGGTCCATTGGTATTTTCTCATATTGAAACAGCAGGCAATGTGCCAATGTTGACGCATGTAAAAGTTTTTTATAAAGTTAAAGAAAGTTATTTCCCTTACACTAATAGCTGGCAACAAGTGGAAAAGTGAATGTAAAAATTGTGGCGAGACTGTCACGCTTGAATGTCCCCGCCAAGTAGATGGACTTGAACCGGATACTCACCGGAACTTAAAGAAGTACTTTTTACCGGATTTTGAAATCTGTTTGTTTTTATCTCATTATTTGTTGCAAGTTTCATAGTCCACAGTAGCGTGCATCATGATGAGTTTGTTATTATTTGCTGTGCCAGTCGTTCTATATGTTATAGTAAAAAAGTATAGGTTTAAAAAATTACCCAAACAAACTCATGATGACTTTATGAAGTTGGTATGGAATAAAGATATTAAAAATCCAGGTGTTATATTACACAGAGGTGGTAATGTAGATGCACCAGAAAATACACTAGAAGCAATTAAACAGGTATATTATGATCCAGGTGCACCATAACTAACAGTAGACCAAGACAATAAATTAAACCATAGAATCTGGAGCCTGAAATTTTATCAGCTGACTACTGCCTGACAGGGCTATATAATCAATGACAATATATTACACATGACTATGTCCAAGTGTATATAGAATAGAATAGAATTTTATTGCATGGAAATGCCCTTTGAGGACAGCATACAATATACAAAGTATTAAATACAAGTACAAAAAATATGAATAGGCATAAATTCAGAGCACTTATAAACAGCATAAAACCAGCATGGTAGGCCTACATATATATATATATGAAAATACAAAACAAAATGTACAAGGTATAAATCACATAACCATGCAGACAGTATGAAACCCACATACGATACAGGGTATAACATTATATATGAAAATACAAAACAAAACATGCGCACATAAAAGATAATAAAATATCATGCATATTTAACATATCAATAGCATAAAACCTGCATACATGGTACATAAATATATATATATATGAAAATAAGAAACAAAACGTACAAAGTATAAAATCACATAACCTGACAGTATAAAACCCACATACGATACAGCTTTAGGGTACATTATAAATGAAAATACAAAACAAAACATGCGCACATAAAAGATAATAAAATATCATGCATATTTAACATATAAATAGCATAAAACCTGCATACATGGTACATAAAAATATATGAAAATATACGAAACCAAACGTACAAAGTATAAAATCACATAACCAGACAGTATATACGATACAGGGTATATAATATATGAAAATACAAAACAAAACATGCACACGTAAAAGATAATAAAATAGCATGTATATTTAAAGGAGCTAAATCGCTAATATTTGGGACTTACAAATTGACACAAATGGGTTGCAATGTATATAATAATGTAATATGAATGTAAATAAACTGATTTACATTCAATCGTTTCCGTTTTTACTCTAATTTCAAAGCAGTTATTTTCGGCAAAATATGCCAGAAGTCTCAATCCAATGACAATCTCTAGCGTCTGGTTATTCCAGTCTACACCGATAGTATTTATTGCGTATGCTCTCCAGATAAGAATATGGGGTCACCGTTTGACAAGACTTGTGGAATTATGTCTAACCTCGTTCTTCGAGTTAGTTGTTAAAATTTGCGCTGAAATGCATTATGGTACACGATTCGTGTACTAATCGTAAAATGTTTATTTTGGCTTAAATATTGGATATCAGAAGCCCATCTTTTCCCGGTAAGATCACCAATGTTGATTAAAATTGACAAATAATTCGTGTTTTCATTGTCAAAGGTTTTGGATGATATTGAGTTAGAGATTTAGCTACTTTAACGTATCAGTTGTCTCTCCACAAAAAAAGAGAAGTAGACATAGGCTGTGTCACTTGTGGTATGCATACTGTCCTTAATGGACGTTTTGATGCAATAAACATCTTATCTACCTTATCTACCGTATATATTTTTGTTGTATATTGTATGTATGGTGTATACAGGTATAGTGCACGCCTATGCAAATAGAATAGTAGGTCGATGGGATGTGTTTGTTTTAAGCTTTGATCAGCCATTTAATTATTGATCGCCCGGTTGTACTTGACAAGGAGTAAGGTCGCCTGTCCAACCTCGTGGGTTTTCTCAAAGTCCTTCGGTTTCCTCCCACTGCTAAAGACCCTTACGCACTAGCGAATTATTGAAATAAAATTGATCCATGTGTTAGTCTCGAAATGACCTAGTTTATGCAAAATGTAATAAAGACTTAAAAGCCTAGATCTATGCACTTCTGAAATAAGATATTATCATAACATCATCATAATTGTCTTTATCATTTTCAACTAATTGGAATTAAATACCATCATTCATGTGCAGGTGGGTGGTTGCATGGCCCAATGGTTAGCATGTGGCGCTGTATCATAAGGCCTGTCATTGAGTCAACTGGCGTGGATTCAAATCCCCAGTTGTACTTGCCAAGGAGTAGGGTTGCCTTCCAACCTCATGGGTTTTCTCCAGGTCCTCCGGTTTCCTCTCACTGCTAAAGACCCCTACGCACAAGTGAATTATTGAAATAAAATTAAACCATATGTTAGTCTCGAAATGACCTAGTTTGTGTCGAGTGGACATTAAACCCCATCTCTCTCTCTCTCTCTCTCTCTCTCTCTCATGTGCAGGTAAAGAGCTATAAGATGGGCCAGGGATTTCTACCTATTGCAAGAGTATAATTTGTTTGGACCAGGCTTGAATTACCCAGGCATTATTTTTCCATTCTGAAACTCTTGGTTTTAAATAAAACTAGGAATATACAAATAAACACAATCAGACTGATGTTGTCATATTAGTGGATTATTTCAGTAAATTGCATCATTAAGCTGCCACTAACTACACCTATATGTTAAGGGTATATATTGTTCCCAATTGTTGGTTTGACATATCCCACTCTACACTGCTTGACTGAAGCATCTTCCATGAGTCATTTCAGATCCCTTATTGCCTTGTATCTACTGCAGAACCCAACAAAATTTTGTGTTATTTCAAGTAAATGATTGCCCTTGTTCCAAAAGCACTCTGCATGCTCAAACATCTGCAGTTTTTTTTTTTTTTTAAAAGTTCAATTGCTGTGATGGTCCTGCTAGTAGCGTTTGATAAAAACCTTGTGACAGCTCTACAGGCTGGATTTTACGATTTATTTTAAAAAAATTTATATTGCAGGCTAAAAAGAGTGGATGTTGTGGTGTAGAAATAGATATAAATTTTACTAAAGATGGTGTAGGAATATTATTACATGATGATACTGTAGAAAGAACAACAGATGGAACTGGTAATCTTGAAAACTTTACATTATCTCAAGTACAACAATTAAATGCAGCTGCAAAACACAAGAAATGGTAGAACATTATTTAATTACTGAAAATGATATAATTGTAAAAATTTTAATTTGTTGTTGATGCCATACTCCAAGCACGATTTTATTAGTGGGTAGGGGTGGAACAAGTGAAGAATTAAATGCAGCTGCAAAACACAAGAAATGGTAGCACATTATTTAATTACTAAAAATGATATAATTGTACAATTTTTAATTTGTTCTTGATACCATACTCCAAGCACGATTTTATAAGTGGGTAGGGGTGAACCAACTGAAGAATTAAATGTAACTGCAAAATACAAGAAATGGTAGAACATTATTTAATTACTGAAAATGATATAATCGTAAAAATTTTAATTTGTTGTTGATGCCATACTCCAAGCACGCTTTTATAAGGGGGTTGGGGTTGATCAACTGAAGAAGGGCATATTATCTGTATGCAAACATTGTTGAAGAAGATTCTGCCCCTCCACTGGCTGAAAAGTTTTAAGCCTGTTTTTGAAAGACCTGTACAAAGTCGATGGTTTCCTTTTTTTTTTTCTACATAGTCCCCTTCGAGGTGTGAACACTTTGCCTCTACACTGTATGTTGCAAGGCCTAGATGCCGGTCAGGAAGCCACCCTAAAATAAGTCGTTCACTGGCTAGTTCCTTATTCATTTTTGGAAACAGGTGGAAGTCTGACGGGGCCAAATCTGGGCAAAAAACTATCAGGATTGGTTTCAAAATGGCACAGATTGTCACAGGACGTCAGGAATCTGACACATTTCTGATCCACAGTCAAGAGCTTCGGCACCCATTTTGCAGAAACTTTTGCCATTCCTAACATAATTGGTGATAATTTACTCAACCCTGACATGAGAGATGCCCACAACACTGGCAATATGTCGAGTGGTCAATCGTGGATCACCCATCACCATGTCATGTACCCGGGCAATGTTTTCTTGAATAGTTGCTGTTTATGGCCTTCTAGGACGTGGGTCATTGTCAAGGCTTAAATTCCGCATCCCACTTCTTTGCTGTGGAAAAATAAGGTGCATCATCCCCTGAAGTGCAGACCATGTCGGCATGTGTCTTTGTTGGGGTTAGTATTTTCAGTTGCAGGTATTTGATGACTACCCTATAGCCAATTTTGTCCATTTCTAGTGATTTCAATGGGTAGGTTCCTAACACAAAATGGTCTGGTACGAAGACAATAATAACACTACAGTTGCAGTTCTTATGTCTGTGATTCATTGATTGTACTTGTTGGTGGCAAAAGTTGGTGTTCCAACACAATTGATCTATCCTTTTCAGGCTCAAAACCTTTCAGCCAGCCCTTGTATGTATGTGATTCCATTTAATCTATCTTAAATATGAATAGTTAACAGAATCCCTGTCTTTTATTATGTGTTTTTCAGTAAGGAATTAGGACATTGTAAAATACCTACATTAGAAGAAAGTGTGGATTTATGTTTGGAATTAAATTTACTGACATTTTTAGACTGTAAAGGAAATGCTAAAAAGGTATAGGTATATCTTATTTGAATAGCATTTGATGTAACCATTATTGTTTTTCTGTCCATTATCCTGTTTCTAGCAAACACTCTAGAGATGACATTGGCCATCCAAACTTATAGAAGTTGTTTACATTAGTTTAACAAAGAAAATCTATGTAATTTCAATGATTTCTGCTAATGATTTCCAGAGTGATTACCCTTGGTCACTTTGTAGAATTTGTGAATTGTCTTTTGACATAATTTATCAACTACTCTGCTTGAATTAAGCATTTTTTGCATTTCAGTGACTTCCAACTTAGACTAATTTTGGTGACAAAGTTCTCTACTGCTCTGCTTAAAATTGATAAGATTGTTTAGATTGTTGATACAAATAAACCTATATAATTTCAGCAATGGTTCTAGAGATATTGCCTTTGCTCTGGTGACAAAAAATTATTAGCTAATTACCTGCATGAAATTTATATGCCTTATGCAGATTAGCGAGAAAAAATATCAAATTGCAAAATTTTTTATGGAATGTTGGATGACTTGGCAGCTTTGGACAGGTTTTGTTGACTGGCAACCTATATTTAGTAAATTTTATGACCTGCTATGCAATTGTATTATTATGTTGTTTTCAGACAGCAGATTTAGTGTGCCGACTATTTCAAGAAAAACCTGAATTATATAAAACAGCTGTTGTTTGTTCCTTCTTTCCTCAGATTATTTATGCTGTAAGTTTTATATTTATCATTATCTATGTTGCTAAGAATTTTATTATTTGTTGATAAGTACTGGACCATAAGGAAACAGTAGCAGCTTAGGGTCTTATGACTAATATTGAAAGTCAATCAAATAGTATCTATCCAAATAGAACCTACAGTGTACTTCTAATTCTGACATCTTGGGCTTTTATGTGGTTATAAGGATTAAGTTAATTGGAATGGAATGTTTAAAATGGGTTATTGGCCAAGAAATGGCATAGATTTAAGGTTGAGGTCAATTGGAATGGAATATCATAACTGTATCTGTGTCTCCCTTTATATGGTGTGTACATGGTGTATAAACTGTATGGTGTCTGGCCAAGAAATGGCATAGATTTAAAGTTGAGGTCAATTGGAATGGAATATCATAACTGTATCTGTGTCTCCCTTTATATGGTGTGTACATGGTGTATAAACTGTATGGTGTCTGGACCATAGCCTGTGATATCACCCAGATGGAAACGGACATATATTTCATCTTAAACTGATTACGTTTTTTTCTGTCTTTTGTAGGTAAGAAGTAAAGATGCATCAATAATGACTGCTTTAACATTTAGAACCCATTGGTTAAGTCACCTGGGTGATGGAACTCCAAGATTTACAGGATTAACACAATCTCTAGTAGAAAGAGCAAACAGTATTCTAAGATTTGCCCATTCTTATTTTTTATGGTATTTTTTTGGTAACACATTTTATCTCCTCAACATGGACATGCTCTCCAGGTAAAATATCATTATATTGAGAAAATAGGCCCAGGAATGCAAATAACACCTGGGATATGCAATAGACATGTCTCCAGTTCAAATCGGAGAAATAAACAAATTTCAGATTTCAGAGTCAAATGCATTCAAAGTTTGTCTGAGGTATGACCACAGCATGCATAAAATCTACTAGATTAATTGGTGGTCTGTCTGTTGTTCATGACACTCACAATTAATGTGGATTGGATTGGAACCGTTAATAATTTTGTCCAATTTGGCACAATTTAGATTCAAGATTTTTGTTTGGGTGCAGAGAAAGTAAGTTACTTCAATCTGAATCCCCTAAAGAACATCAATATGTAAGAAAAAGCAGATGCAATTCTGTTCCAAACACTTTCTCAAATTGTTTTTTTTATACCTGTATTTAATGTGGATATATTATTGTCAACACCTTTGTCCATGATTTGTTTGACCAGGCATATTAAGGAGCCTGACATGCCCTGTCTATGTTTCAAACTCTGATGAATTGTTTGTAGATATAATTGGTTTTATATCCTAGATTTGAAGGCCGTAGTTGAAGGTCATTTTCTTTTTTTTTGAAACTTTTCACACATTGTCAATCTGTCAGTGAATCAGTTAATTTAAAGGAATTTCTTACTTTTTATCTCTATTTACAGGGACATATTTCTACAATGGAAGAATCGTGGAATACACTGTATACCATGGACAGTTAACCATCCAATAATGAAAGAATATTGTCTGGAATATCTACATTGTCCCATTATAACAGATGGATTGGATACTAAGCTCTGATATAGATGTGCCTAGGACAACAAGTCTTTCCAAAAAGAACAATGACTGTATGTAGACTTCCTATGAATACACCAGTGATCAAATTTTCTTTATTTAAGAGTTTGAACAATATTTTTATGTTGTTATATTATGATATATTTGTTATATATTCATTTCGTTTTCAAACTTACATTCCAGGGTTTTTTTTGGCATAAAATCATTCATCAAAAATATTCAGACAATTTATAACAAAACTGTAAAATGCATAAAACTATATTGGACAACAATACTAAATATAATCACAAAAAATACATTTATATACATAAATAAAACAAATATCACAGATTTGTGTATATATAAATATTGAAAATGTAAATAAAATATAATCAGATTGTATACATTTAAAATTTGGAATAAACATTTGTTTCTTTTAAAGAATTTAGCATCTTGCAATATAGCCATGACTGACAAGGTAGAAAGGCTATGGTACATCTTTGAGATTCAAGCACTCAGTTTAATATGTTTTACTGCCACAGGAACTTAACAGTGTTATGTCCGGCCCCAAAGAAAATATGAAATTGATAACACAGCCTCGAAATAGTCAAGGCCTGTTATGAGTAAAAAATGTATTCAGTTCAATTATTAGTGTCTTTGTCCCCATCTTTAGAGGAAGTCAAACTTTTCGGGACAGGGATCTGTCCTATCATCCATTATACTTTTTGGAACACAATAACGGTGTTTTTAATTGATCTAGAATGTTTAAACTTGTTATACCGAGATATCGTGTACACATTGGCATGCACTAAAAGATCCCTTGGCAGTTGTAATTTGATGCAAGAGTAGGCCGTCGTGCCGCTGTCTGGGCACATTTTCCTCAGCACACTGGATTGCGTGTCCGTCTTTATTAGCCAAGTCGGAGCAGACAAGTAATACGTTAAACACCATTTTATTTCATACTTCGTAAAGATGTTCATTAGTGAGTGACTGAGTGCCTTTACCGAGTTTGTTGATGAGAATTTTCTGATTAGCAACTTTCTGTGCTTTTAGAACACAATACCTCTGCTTCTATTTTAACTAGAATGTTTAAACTTGGTGTAATTTTCGCTGGGCGAATGTCATGGCTGAATTTGATGGTGATAAATTTCTGCTAAAGCTAATATAAGTTTGATTTTAATTGAGTGAGAGTGACCAAACTTGCTGAGCATTATTCCACTACATCAATATCTTGACCAAGTTCTCTCTCTCTTTAACTCGTGGTAATCAGCCCTGCATTAACTGTAAATAGTCTTTGTTCATTCCCAGACCATAATATTTTAGTTCCCAACAATATGCTTGAAAAGACCCATTTTAAAATAGGCAAATACTGCAATGTAATCAAAAGAATTGTATTACATAAAAGATCATTTATATAAAGAAGGGAGTAAGGAAACGATGAATTATAACTTTAGGCTTAGAAGCAATTCTTGCTTTTCACTCCATGGGCAGAGATAAACAAATGACTGCATTACCAATTTAGCAACAAAACTCGAAAACCACGTCCACCACCATAAGATATTTACGCTATTTGAACCCGTCGTCCCTTACCGACACAGTGTCTCGGGATCAGTAAGACATGTTCGATTTCTTCGGATTTTCCGGCGTAATTGTACCCCTCGCCCCGCCCTTGTCAGTGGTATAGTCGTTCGGGTGGAGGTGGGGGGTCCTGTGTACACATTGGTGTGAACGTAAAATTTCCCTAAACTATGGTGGCTGAAAGCGTCCATTTAGATCGGCGGGTTTCCAGAGTCGCCGTTAAGCCAGCACGACGAAAAAGGCGCCGATCGGCGACTTTTTCGTCGTACTACCTTTTCGGCGACTTGCTTAACGGCGACTCTCGTGTTGTGAAAGTCGCGGGTCGCCGATAAGGTAGTACGACGAAAAAGTCGCCGCGTTGTATCTAGAAACACGCCGATCTAAATGGACGCTTTCAGCCACCATACTAAACAGTTGGAATTCGATATAAGAGTAGACCGTAGTGCCGCTGCCAGGACAAAATATCCCTGATAGCACACTGTATGGCGTATACCCGTCTTCATTATTCTGGTTGGTGCAGAAAAGTAGGACGTTAAATCCCATTTCATTTCTTGCCCTCTGGATTCCAATATGTGTAATGAGATAAAGGCGGGATTTCTGGTTAGTTCTTCCCCACAGTTCTTGGTTTGAGATGCGATCTGGCCACCTTTTCTAAAACAAGAAATGTTGATGAATACCTGTAATCTGCTTTTACTAAGCAATTGAGTAATACAGACTTACATTCTGTGCACGTAAAAGAGTCCTTGACGGTTTTTATTTTAATACAAGAATAGGCCGCCGTGCCGCTGTCGGGGTAAATTTTCCTCATAGCACATTGTATGGCCGTGTTGATTAGCCAAGTCGGTGCAGAAGAGTGGGACGTTAAAGCCCATTTCAATTCATTGCCTGTAACTAAACACACGAGGAACCCGAGGAACCAGATTCCGGTTATTTGCTGCTTTTAAACTACCCCTATAGAATATATTCAGTGTTCTGAAAATTCACAAGGAAGTTAATTTTTAATGAATAAATTTGTGAAGTAATAATATCGTAGATAACATGGCCTATTGATATGTTGCGATATATTTATCAATCAATAAGTAGAGATCTTTATCACAGATTAATTACAACAATACCGAACCTTGAACCAAATATCCTTGAACCCAAACCACGAGACTCATACATATACAACAAATTTTATTCACACTCGTGACTATAAGAGCATCAATTAAAAGAAGGCAAGAGCATCTTTTTCTTCAGTAATACAACTGTGGTCAAGATGAACACGGTCGTGTCCGCTCTCCTGTTGGCCGTTGTTGGCCTTCAGGGAAGCAGAGGTGCTTCGTTTAATTGTAATCAGCCTGCCCATTCCGGGGAAAATATATACCAGTATACTATTCCAGATATTATGAATGCCAAGAACATCAGTCTGTCCAACTACAGTGGTAGAGTGGTCTTGGTAGTGAATGTGGCTACCTACTGAGGTTTAAACCCCCATTACTACGGTCTAAATGCACTACAGACCATGTACGGGGCCCAGGGACTCTCGGTTTTGGGATTTCCTTGTAATCAGTTTAACTTGGTAAGTTAATTTTCATGAACAACCCAGGCTATTTTTTGACTGAATATGTATTAAAACTTTCGAAGTCTCTCTGATATTTTTAATTAAGCCCTGCTAATCACTGACAGTATTCCAAAGAGCGACTAACGACGAAATATATGCATGTCATTTAAATTTTGGATAAGGTATGTAGAATATGTATAGCATGTATTCCCTTGTCGGTCACTTTTTGCAATTTTTTAGGCGCTATTGACAACAAAGAACCCAAAACAAAGCACCCTTGTCGATGTTTAGTAGTACTGCTTTGATTGACTGGGTGTTGAAAATTTGAGTAAATAGAAGTACTCATAAGTTGGGAATACATGGAGATGAATAAGAAAGAATTGTCCTTTTAGAATGACAAGAACTCTTTGATTTCACTGGAACATGAAGGAGTCCATTTTGATGTGTAAGGTCTGAAAGTTTATATTTGCCGTTTTGTCTGGAATAGTGTAGCTCTAAACTTCGTAGGCATTAAACATCAGTGTATTCTACCGAAATGAAAACGTTATTGTGCCAATCAGTTGTTTTGCCGGTTTTTCACGATCGTTAATCTGGTCAACCTAATCCAAATTTTGCTATATCAAGAGGTTCTGCTTCTTTAATTTTATCACTTTTAAAATTAATTTGAAACAGTATCCAACATAACCCTAGACTCGCCTAATTATTGAAAATCAAAGTTCTGGTCTCACTTGCGAAAAGCATTCTTGACGAGCGTCCGCTGAACTCTTAATAATAATATCATCTATATTTCAACGATGAACTGTTAAAATGAACACCAGCGATACTAACGTGGTCAAATCCCAGCAAATCGTAAAATATTTTTTACACCAACCTTTAAAGACCCCCAGAGCGTTAATTCCCTTTTTTTACATAAGAAGTGTGAGTTACTGTATAGTTTAGTGGTCAAAGATACCTTCTCTTCTCCGATTAGTTTTTGATTTCTTTTTTTCAGCAAGAACCAGGAAATAACGGCACCGAGATCTTAAATGGAGTAAAATATGTGAGACCAGGGGGAGGTTTTGTTCCTAATTTTCAGATGTTTACAAAGATAGAAGTTAATGGTGCCAACGAAGAACCATTATATACTTATCTTAAGGTAGATATTGTTAGCCCACCAAATCAATGACCCAATGGTCTTATTTCGTAATCACAGTACGTCGTTCGTCTCTGAGAGTGGTGGTCCTTCTTTCAACTGATGTTAATCGACCTGGAATGGGCGCGATGCCTTAACGTGGCCAATCCAGGAATTTCAAAAATACATAGGAAATTTCAAACCAAGGTAGTAAGTATTTTGATTGAGTGGAGCTGGTTGAGACTCCATGGGTCTTTAAAGTGTTAAACTTCAGCATTTTTTACTATTTCCCAAAAGCCAAATTAGTAGGATCCATATTAGTTCAGGACAAGTTCTTCACTTAATCTGCTTGATTAAGATGCTGCTTGGGTAGTGGTAATTCCGATTTGTTTATATATAGCTGCTCGGGTTCACAGGGACTTATCTAGAATTAAAATACAGATGTGACGTCATCTTTTGATGTTAGCGTACCATTATTTCAAATAATGACACGGACAATGTGCCAAGCGTACATTATTTATAATAGTAGAAATGTTGGACCATCGTAACGTATTTCATTGCAAAGCACGCGCGAGTGTCTGTATTTTAAGTGTGGTTTATTGGACTCAAGCTTAAGACATTGCGTAATATATTGAAATAACACACGGGGCTAACGTCGACCATTAAGCCACACTTATTCCAACCAATTTGATCAGCCACACAGGGACCCTTCTCTAAATACCTTTAAGGATAGATTTAGACACTTTATTGAACTAGTAGCTTTTATAGATACCCACGAAATATTTAATATAGAGATAGCTTAATCCAGCTTGATCAATAAATATATTTGTTTCTAATATAACACACATCAGTTGGTTAATCTCGCTATAAGAAATACAATTTAGCTAAAATATAAGCAATACAGACCTTTAACGTATAGCGAATATTTATAGATGTTGCACTTAGTGGTATTTAGTGTTCTCCAATAACTGATTATTCTTTATCGGGGCTGTTGACTGTGCTTGATAACGACAAGAAAATTGTTGTTGAATCGACGCTCCAATTCAAAATTCAGTAACTGCCTTTCAAAGATTAGTTAGACTTTGTTAGGAAGATGTTTGTACCGGTTAAGATTGTCCTTGTATTGGCAAG